TATTTTTGGAGTCAAAGTTTCTTAATTGGGACATGTTTTCCCACCAATTTAAAGCTTTTCTGTCTCTCCCCATCTGGTAAATTTTCGCACCAAATGTCTGAATTCATTGATTACTCAGAAGGGGATGGGTTCTTAGAAAGTGGTAGTGTGGTAGAAAGTATGTTAGATTTGGAGCTGGAAAACCAGGCTTCCAGAATTCTCCCCTTCACTTGCTGGCTCTGTGACTTGAGTAAGACACCAAACTTCTCTGAGCCTTCTTAATTTTCAGAACTCGGGCAAGTGCCAAGTAGCTCTTAGGGTTGCTGTTAGGAGTACTTGAGTTAAATAGATGAAGTTCTTTTGAAAACTATAAAGCAAGGTTTGATAAATTTTTTCCACAAAGGACCAGGTAGTAAATATTTTAGGCTTTGTGGGCCATAGAGTATCTGTTGCCACGATTCAGCTCTGCTGTTGTAGCAGTTATAGGCAATATGTAAATGAATGAGTGTGGCTATGTTCCAATAACACTATTTATGAACACTGAAATATGAATTTGGAATAATTTTCATGTGTTATGAAATACTATTCTTCTTTTGATTTTTTAAAAACCATTTAAAAGTGTAAAAATCATTCTCAGCTTACCTGTTGCACAAAAACAGGCAGGGAGGTGAAGTAGGTTTGGCCTGAGGGCTATATGTAGTTTGGCTACAACTGTTATAAAGGGTTAGGCAGAGTAAGGTGTTAATTAAGGATTCAAAGGTAGGTGATTGATAGATAGAAATTGTTTAATTTTGATGATGGAAGAACATGGAGAGGATTTCATCTCCTTTTCTAATATGAATCCATACTTTTTTCACATAAAATGGGCATCTTTAATTGAGAAGATGGCTTTACCAAAGCAAAACTGGAAGATGAAAGTGAGGAAGACGATAGTTTTAGTGTTATAAACTCCCAAGGACTGTGATGTGGTTGTGTAGTGTATGTATCTATGCAATTCAGGATTGTGTATAATGTGTACATGTGGCTCCAAGTCATATGTGGCCCCATATTACCAGTGGTTAACAGTGGACTTGAGAGTCATGCGTGGGTTGAATTCTGGTCCTGGTTTTTACTAGCTGTGTAATATTAGACAAATTTAACTTAATTTTTTGAGCCTAGTTTCCTCATTTGTAAAATGAGAATAAAAATATTACTTACCTCAAGATTCTTGTGATGATGATTACATGAGGAAATGCATGAAAGGGCTTATAGTGTTTGGCATGAAGGGCTCAATAACTGATAATATTCATTTGGTTATATGTTGTACATACCTTATTATTTTTGTCCTTCCTTCAGTTATTTTAAGAAATTATAATATTCTTAATTGGTTTTTGGTACAGGTTGTTGATGGGCAGTTCTGCTTTAAAGAGTTAAAATAATATAGGCGCATAGAAAAATACCGTATGATATCACTCATATGTGGAATCTAAAGCTAAGAAAAAGACAAAAAGGACATTATGAGCTCATCTACAAAACAGAAACACACTCGCAGACATAGTAAACAATCTTATGGTTACTGGGGAAAGGGGGTGGGAAGGGATAAATTTGGGAGTTTGAGATTTACAGTGTTAGCCACTATAAATAAAAATAGATTTAAAAGAATGTTTCTGCTGTATAGCACAGGGAACTATGTTTAATATTGTGTAATAACCTTTAATGAAAAAATATGAAAATGAATATATGTATGTATATGCATGACTGGGACATTGTGCTGTACACCAGAAATTGAAACATTGTAACTGATGATACTTCAATTAAAGAAAAATAATATAGAGGTAGATTAAAGCCTTAAATTCCCCAGTTACCCACCTTGCTGTCATCTCAGTGGGTAACCATTGTTAAGAGTTGACTGTGAACTTACACAGTCCTTTTTTCCTGTATTTACATCCATATGTATGCGCATATACAAATAAAAATGTAATGTATATTTTATGGCTTATTTTTTCCCAAAGAATATGACTTTTTTCATGTCAGTATATATGTGTTCACTTTGTTATTTTGAATGGATACATAGTATTTCATACTATGTTCTCCTTTAACCAATAGGATCAATTTAGAGTATATCCTTCCAGTCTTTTTTATATGCATTTACACATATATGGGTACATTTAGAAATAAAAAGTTTTGCGTGTGTTTTTTTTACATAAATGATATATAGGTGTAATATATATGTTGTACCACAACTTGTTTTTCTCAGTAGTACACGTGTGTAGGAGATTTTTATACATCAGTGTATATCCATGTCTCAGTTTTTAAACAGCTGCATATTATTATGCAGGACAGATGCACCGCTTTTTATTTCACCATTCTCTTACAGATGAGTATATAAGTTCATTTCAATTATTTTTTTTTTGCTGTTGCAAACATTGCTTCAGTAAAAAATCCTCGTACATACATATTTGTACACATACAGGAGTGTTTCTCAGGTAGATACTAAAAAGTGGAATTTTTAGGTGTCAAGTATGTGCTATATATTTGAAATTTGCCATATGAAAAGGCTATTCCAGTTTATCTGTCGACAGTGCATGTAATGCTGAATTTCTCAGCTGTGATATTAATAGATATATAATTTTTGCTCATCTGATAAGCAAAAATGATATTGAATTGTTTGAATTTGCATCTCCTTGCTTACTAAGAAGTTTGAGGCATCCGCTACCATAGATGTATTGGCTATTTATGTTTCTTCTTACTGATTTTTTGGGGTTCTTTATATATTCTGTGTATTAATGCTTTGCTGTACATGTTGTAAATGTTTGCTCCCAGTCTGTTTTCTTTTAACTTTGTTCATGGTCAAACAGCCAAATGTATTTTTTTTTGTTGTTGTTAATGTATTTGTTGTTGTAGTTCATCTTTTTAAGAAAACCTTTCTTTCTTCAGGTTGGAAATATATTGTACCATATTTACTTTTAATAGGTATATAGTTTTGTTTTTTATGTTTAGCTCTTTAATCTGCCTGGAATGTATTTTTATGGCTGGTTTTAAGTAGGACTTTAATTGCCCTCTCCCTGTCCCAAATGGAGAGCCAATTCTGACACTATTTATTATGCTATGTGTTCCTTATAAATTGAAATGCTGTCGTTACTATGGACTGCATTCCCATGTTACATACATGTGGTTGTTTCTGTACTGACTCTTCTCCACTAGTCCAGTTGTCTATTTCTGTGCTGAAACCACATTGTTTAACTTACTATAGCTATATTATATGTAATATCTGGTAAGACAAATTGTCATTTTTCTTTTTCAAGATTTTCTTGCCTTTCCTTGTACCTTTTTAGAATTGGTTTGTCAATTTTGGACAAAAACATCTCTTTGGGATTTTTATTGCGTTTGCATTGACTTTGGAATAATCTCAGAGAGGGGTTTGTGAAGATGCTGATACTGGGTCTTTCTACCAAAGAAAGGTATGTTTTATGTACTTAAGTAAAATTTTAGTCTTCTTTATGTAAGTGTTGTGTATTTCTTTTTGAGTTTATTCCTAGATGAGTATTTTATAGCTTTGTTAGTCTTGTGAACAGAATAGTTTTTTTTTTTTGAGGGAGGGAGAGACAATTTAAATATGTATTTTATAAATTACATTTACCTATGTATACTTTCTTTGGCAAGTAAAGGGGAGGTAGTAGAAAATTTGACTGGGGTGCTGGTCCAAGTAGTCTCTCGGTCATTGGAAAGGTCTCTGGGCCCTGACACTGGGGAGTAATGGTTGGCTGGCAGAGAGCTTAGAGGTGGGGGTCCAAGCTAATCCACTGCAGGGATGGGGTCGAGAGGTACACGGAGAATTGAAGACCTGGCAGGGTGTGGGTCACAACATGGCAGGGGTTCTTGGGGAGGCCAGCCTTCCTGGCACAGAGTCTCATCACATCCCTGAGGGTCCATTGGGAGAGCCTTGAGTTTTTTTTTTTTTAATATGTATATTTTATTCGCAGTGACCCACCCTCCAGGTGCCACCTGTTCCTGGCACTCTCACCTTAGGATACTTGTTTTTTAAATTACATTTTCTTTTTTTTTTAACATTTTTTATTGATTTATAATCATTTTACAATGTTGTGTCAAATTCCAGTGTATATGTCCATGAATGAATGAAAAATTGTGCTGAACACTGGAATTAAATTACATTTTCTAATTGATTATTGCTGATGTATAGCAAAGCTATTTCTTTGTGCTTGTTAATTTTGTCTTTAGCCTTTCTGCTGAGCTCTTTTATTCATTCCTATTATAGTTTGCTTGGATTTGCTTGGATTTTCCAGATAGACAGCCATATAATCTACAGGTTTTAAGTTTTGTCTCCTACTTTCCAACATTTGTATGTCTTGTTTTATTTCCTTAAGTGGTATCAATGATAATAGGAATTCTTGGCTTATTCCTGACTTTAATTATTGTTTATGTTAAAGATGCTTAACCTCACTCATGAGATAAATGCTAATTGAAACCACACTGTGATTTCTTTTTTAAACCTATCTGAGTGTTAAAAATCAAAACATTTGATAACACCTTTTTTTGTTGTTGTTGTTAAGGCTGTGGGGTAAAAGACACTCTCACACATTGCAGGTGGGAGTTTAAATTGGTACAATGCCCGAGGAAGGCAGTTTGGCAGCATTATGTAAAGATACATGTGAATTTTGTGTATTCTTCTGGATATACTAGTTTTCTTCAATAAAAGCTAAATATGCAAATTTCCTTTGATCTAGCAATCCCATTTCAGGGAATGTACATACACTCACACATATATATACACAAAGATACACACATATATGCAAAGGAAATATGCAGTTATATGTCATAGCAAATAATCAAATACTATTACTATATAGGTATTAAAAAAGAAGAATGACAGGGAAAAAAGTATCTTAAATTATTGTGACTATAAAAAAAAGTTTGGTATATACTGTGCTACTTTTTGTGTAGAAAGGGAGAGAGAGAACATGTATTTGTTTTTGCTTATTTGCTGAAAGAAACTCTGGAGGACTACACAAGAATCTAATGAGGATCAGTGATGAAAATAGCCAAATCTGATCATCAGACCTTCTAGTCTAGCTGATGCATGATCTCTGTAGGTCTGAGAAGCAAAAGTATACAATAATTTAAAACAATAAAGGGTTATGTCTTGGATAGGTGTGTGTGTGTGTGTGTGTGTGTGTGTGTGTGTGTGTGTAAAGGTGACAGTGGATAACTGAGGAATTGTTGATGGGTGAGTGAGAGTGGGCTGGGGGTTCTGTGTGTGTGAAAGGCTAATCAATTCTGAGTGATGATGAAAACGTTTTACTACTGACCTTTTTAACTATGAAGTTTTCTACACTTGATCTAAGCTCAGAAAAAAAAATCTAATAAATATTAACCTGTTGGGAGAGTGGTGGGAACTGAATGGCTAGGAAACGGGGTTGAGAGTGAAGCTGTCCATTATATACCTCTTTCTTTGGTTTTTGAATCTTACGATTGCATTGTCAAAATTAAAATAAAAATGATTGCTTGAATTATTTCAGCTCTTCCAAAGACATTTTTTTCTTGTTCTTGTTCTTTCTCTTCTGTGTTACAGGTTATCTTTAAATAGCTGTTTCCTGATTCTGTTCGTATTTTAAAATGAGCTAGTAGAAGGGTTGACTGGAAGTTCTGTGTACCTAGAGAGGGTTGTCAACTGGTAGGCTTTATTTTGGGTGGGCAGCTGGCTTTTAGACTTGGATAGAGAGCAGAGGGCTTTGTACCAGGGTGTCCTTATTCTTCCTAGTTTGTTGAATTTGGTATTCTGTATGCAGGATTTCTTTCTTTGTTGGGGAGAGTTCATCAACTGTGTCGTAATTCAGACCTGCAGTTAATCCCTGTTTTCAGCCTTTTTCTCACTCTGGCCCTCTGTAGGATCTTCAGTCTTTTGAGTGTGGAACCCCTCTTGGGTTTTGCCCTGTAAGTCAGCTCCCTCCTGGGTTGGAACCCTTTCTACTACATATTTTAGGTTGTGGCATTCCTTTGATTTGTGTTATCAGCCAGTGTTTTCCTGTCTGCTCTCTGTCAGAAATTGTTGAAATCTTGTATTTGCTATGCCATTTCCCATTCCTGTCCTTGAGTTGTCATTTATATTTTTGTACTCTTACCATCACTTTTCCAAGGTCTTGGAAAGTACAAGAGATATAGGTGTTCAGTTCACCTTCTTGAACCAGAAGTCAACAGGGGTGTATCTTAAGCTTGGATAAACTGTAGGCTCCTTGAGGACAAAAACTGACTTTTGTTCTTTTATCCCCAGACCCTGACACAGAGCTTAGCACTTGGTAAATGTTTATTGACATGAGTACACATGTATGAAAGAGAGAGAGAGGATTGTTGATGGAAAATTTACTGTGTAATTTTGACTATTTAAATATGCATTCTTTTAACTGTTGTTTCCAAAAGTTGAAGAAATTAGTGAACCATTGATTGACAAAATATGCTGGATTTCCTATGGATAGAACTGTGATAGGCTACAGGGGAAAATTTATTTTGAGCTTTTAACTCAAATGTTCCAAGCTTATATATCAAACATGTTGAAGGAGTAGATATGGGGCACAAATTTGTGAGATTTTCCTTATAATTTCAGTCTCTGTAGAAGTGCTTTTGCAGTTGTCTTTCTACGTATTCCTAGGGTTTTGATCAGTGTGTTAACATTTTATGAAGGAAAAAAATGGTCACATATAGATTATAATATATAGCTGTTGAGCTCAGTAAGAGACTTAAGGTTTGAGGCCTGATTTTTGTGGACTATTTCACTGAGCTATGTTTCTGCATTGCTGAATATAGAAGAGATACTATCCTGGTCACTGAAGCATACCCCTTTAGCAATGCTAGCATGGTTTATTATTGGAAAGCTTTAAAAGAATGTATTATATACTTTTCAGCCTTACTAAATAGACTCTCCTGAAAATCATTTAATGTTTTCTTGAGTATTGTTGAATAGTGCTTTACTATAATGCTGCCCCTAGGGGTTAGTAAGAGGTTAGAAAATAAAAGCTTCCATTTATTGATTATTATATTGTGCCAGGCATCGTGCTAAGCACTTTATATGTATATTTCCATTTTATTTTCTTATTAGTCCTGTGAGATTTCACAAATGAAATCAAGAATGAATGAGGTTAAGTAATTTGCCCCAAATCTCCTCTGAGGAATGAGAGGCAGAACGAAGATTGAGTCCAGGTTTCTCCCGCTTCACAAAGCCTGTGTTCTGAAACTGTATTTTGTGGTCCAGAAGTTATTGGATCCATGATGAAAAGGCCCCAGATATATTATACTTAGTGAAGTTGTTGGCCTGGTTTTTTAAAATATGGTTTTTTATTCATTATTTACCACTAAGCTACCAGCTATTACATTTTATTGTTGTCAGGTCTTTTCCCTTCAGACCAGTGATTCTCAACCCAGGAGGCCAGGTTGAAGATAAGGAGAGTGGACAGAATGAGAAGAGTGGAAGGTACAGAGTATAGTTTAGAAAAGGCATATTTGATATTACGATGTCTTTGATTTTAGTTCTAAATGTTTTAAGATTCTTAAAGAAGGATATTATATTTTATTGAGATATAATTTACATACCATAAAATTCACCAATATAAATGTCAATGATTTTTAGTAAATTTATAGAGTTGTATAACCTTAATTACAATTTAATTTTAGAACATTTTCATCACCCCTAAAAGATTTCTTGTGCCAGTTTGCAGTCAGTCGCGTTCCTATGCCCCAGCCCTAGGCAACAGCTAATCTATTTTCTGTCTCTATAGATTTGCATATTCTAAGTATTCCATATAAATAGAACCATATGTGGTCTTTCCTCTGGCTTCTTTCACTTAGCATAATGTTTTAAAGGTTCATCCTTATTGTATGTGGCATGTATCAATACCTCATTTCTTTTTATTGCTGAATAACATTCCGTTGCATGGGTATAACACATTTTGTTTATCCATCAGTTGATAGACATTTGGATTGTTTCCATCCTTTGGCTGTTGTGAATAGTGTTGCTATGAACATTTTTCGTACACGTTTTTATGTGGAAATAAGCTTTCATTTCTCTTGGGTAGATGGTATCATATAGTAACTCTATGTTTAACTTGTTGAGGAACTGCCACACGGTGTTCCAAAGCAGCTGCACCATTTTACATTCTCACCGGCAATGTACCAGGGCTCTATTTTCTCCACATCCTCACCAACACTTGTTACTGTCTGTCTTTTTTATTGTAAGCGTCCTCATGGGTATGAAGTGGTATTTTATTGTGACCTTTTGATTTGTATTTATCTAATGAGTAATGATATGGAACATCTTTTTATGTGTTTATTGGCCATTTGTATATCTTTTTAGAGAAATATCTGTTCAGATCTGTAGCCCATTGGATTATTGTCCTTTCATTATTGAGCTGTAAGAATTCTTTATATATTCTAAGTACCAGTCCCTTATCAGATACATGATTTGCACGTATTTTCTTCTAGCCTTTTTGCTTTTCACTTTTTTTTTTACATGCAGGAGTTTATTGGTCACTTACATGCCAGGTACAAACATTAGCCAAAAAAAGTCATGGTTTCCACTTAAAAGAGCCTGTTGTCTCTTCCCATAGTGTTTCTCCCCCAACTCTGCAGATCCACAATCACAGATGAAGACAGTTTCACTTATTCTAGAGATTCAGCTCCAGAAACAAGCTGATATCTTTTAGTATCAGGCACTGCCGGTAAAATCCAGGGGGGAACCAGGTCCTGAGACTCTAGTCTCTGTCATCACTGTCATGACGAGTGTTCACTCACCAGAAATACCAACTTCAGTCATCCTGGACTCTCCATCTGGCACAGCAGTGGAACATTTCTGCTGGCCTCTGGAAACGTTTCAGTTTTAATAAGGGTCTCTGGCTATACCTGAGAAATGACAGGCACAATAGCTGTCTTTTCCTGAAATGTTGCAGATCAGTTACAGCAAACAGAACGGTGACCGTCAAGAAAAAATGTCACTCTGGGCTCCTTTTTGACCACAGCAGCTATGTGGAAGCAGCTGCAGCTTCGATAAGGGCCACTGCTTTTCACTTTCTTGATGGCATCTTTTGAAGCACAAGTTTTTTAATTTTTATGAGGTCCAGCTTCTCAGTTTTCTCCTTTATCACTTGTATTTTTGTTACTGTACCTAGGAAATCACTGCACAATCCAAAGTCACTAAGATTTACTCCAGTGTTTTCTTCTAAGGATTTTATACTTTTAGCTCTTACATTTAGGTCTGTGATCCACTTTGAGTTCATTTCTTGTATGATGTAAGGTAGAAATCCAGCTTCATTCTTTTGTATGTAGATATCCAATTGTCCCATTACCTTTTGTTGAAAAACTGTTCTTTCCCACTGAATGGTCTTGGCCTCTCTATTGAAAATCAACTGACCATAAATGTTAAGGTTTGTTTCTAGACTCTCAATTCTATACCATTGATCTATATATCCTTATTTTATTGTTTATTTCTAATTTAGTTCTTTTGTAGAAGGAGAACATACTTTAATTTCACTCCTTTTAAATTTATTGAGATTTATTTTATTGCATAGTACATGATCTGTTCTGGAGGTTTTTCTTTGTGCTTGAAAATAATGTATATTTTGCTCTTGTTAGGTGGAGTGTTCTGTAGATGGCAGTTAGGCCAAGTTGACTGATAGTTTTGGCTAAGTTTTCCAAATTCTTGCTGGTTTTCTGTCTAGTTGTTCTCTCCGTTATTGAGAGTGGGCTATTAAAATCTTCTACTGTGATTATTGAATTGTTTATTTCTCTCTTCAGTTATGTCAGTTTTTATTTAATGAATTTTGGTGCTCTGTTGTTAGATAGGTATAATTGTTATAGTGTCCTGATTAATCTTTTCATGCTTATAAAATGTTCTTCTTTGTCTCTAATAACATTTTTTGTCTTAGGGTTGGTTTTTAAAAGACTGAAGGAACATTTATTTCCCCATTCCTCTTCTTTGCTGCTGCTTATCCTACAGTTTGGGAAACCAGGTGACCCAACATTACCATTAGTTAAGTGAAGTGAAAAATGTTATTCTTAAGAATATTCCACCTAAAATGTTAATATTTGGGGAATGTGAGTGAAGGGTATACTGGATTATGTATATATTCTTCCAGGTCTTTTTCCAAGTCCAAAATTATGTGAAAATAAGTTGAAGAAAGTACCTCTACCTAAGTGAGGGATTGTTACCTTTTCTCAGTTGAAGGCAAGACTTGTCTTATTGACTTTTGAAGTATGTTGATTTAGCAATGTAACCTCATATAGCACTTTATGAATCCTTAGTTTAATTCTTAGCTCTGTCCTGGTAGTGTCATGTGATAGGCAAATCTCTGAGAGTTATCATAGACTCTTCCTTTTCCCTCACAACCGTATTTATTCAGGCAGTAAATCTTGCATTTAGTACTTCATTAATGTATCTTATCTCTTGACACTATTTTCATTCAAACCTCAGCATCTCCTTTTTAGATTATTATAGTAACCCTCTAACTGATTTCCTTGTTTTACACTGTATGGCATAGGAATCCTTGGTGAGTATCTGCCTCTCTATCCTGATCTGCCTGCTTCTAGTATTACTAGTTAACTGTTGATATACTTACTCTGCTGTTTTATGACTTTGCATGTCATCTTCCCTCTGCTTAGATCAGCTAATTTTCTTTCTCTGAGATTCAGTTCATGCATCTTTTCCAGGAAACCTTACTTAAGGAGTCCAACTTCATTCTTGTCCATGTAGATATCCAATTATCCCTGCACCATTTGTTGAAAAATAGTTCTTTCCCCATTGTATTGTCTTGGTACTTTTGTTGAAAATTGACCATAAACAGGTGTGCTTATTTCTGGACTCTTTGTTTTTATTCCATTTATCTAAACATCTATCCTTAAACCAGCACCACACTTTCTTAATACTGTAGCTTTATAGTAGGTTTTAAAATTGGAAAGAGTGAGTCTTCCAACTTTGTTCCTTTTAAAGATTGTTTTGGCTTGACTTTGAAGTTCTATATAAATTTTAGGATCAGCTTGTTAATTTCTGCAAAGGAACCAGCTGAGATTTTTATAGGAATTGTACTGAATGGGTAGAACAGTGTGGAGTATTTCTCTCCATTGTGTTTGTTTTGGTTCAGGATTATTTTTCTTCAGTTTTCCAAATTTGTTATTTCTGTATATTTTTGATTTGACATGACAAATAGTGTTTTATAAGGCACATAAGAACAGATATACAGACTTAACTTTATGGTATATCTTTGTAGTGAGAAGTGAAGAACTCTCTTATTGGTTTGACCATTCATTTGAAAAAAATGTTTTCCTTGTATGTTCCACATATTTCCACATATTCTTTGTGGAAAAAATTAGAAAATACAGAAAAGCAGAAAGAAAAAATCCATAATTCTACTATTCAGTGTTAATATCATGTGTGTGTATGTATAATGGAAGCTTGTCATATATTTCTTTTTTCATTTAATCATATAATATGTAGGAAATGTCTTTTTATCTCACTAAAAACTACAGTGTTTTTTAAATGCTGTATCCTATCTCATTTTGAGATATTTAATTAAACTTTATTAAGTTTATGTTTAGTTACAGTTTTTCCAAATTCTAAGTGCTATATGAGTGTCTTTATAGTTAAATCTTTGCACAGATTGTTGGCTATTTCTATGGCAAGTTCCTGTAAGTAGAATTGCTGATTCAAGAGAATACGTATTTTTAAGTCTTTCTTGCCATTTTTTGTTTCTGGTATAATGTGTTAATACTTGACAATAGTTTCTATCTGTTAAAGTGTGAAGGCAAGCTCATAAACAAGTATTTGCTTTATTCAGAACTACTGTTAGATGTTCATAGCAGCATTATTCAAATAGTCAATAGGTGGAAACAACTCATCCATTGACCAGATGAATGGATAAACAAAATGTGCCATATACATACAATGGACTATTATTCAGCCTTAAAAAGGAATGAAATTCTGATGCATGGTAACATCAATGAACCTTGAAAACATTATGCCAAGTAACATAAGCCAGACACAAAAGGACAAATAGTGTATGATTCCACTTATATGAAATACCTAGAGTAAGCAAATTCACAAGGACAGAAAGTAGAACAGAGGCTACCAGGGGCTGGGAGATGGGAAATTATTGTTTAATGGATACAGAATTTCAGTTTGGGATGATGAAAAAGTTCTGGAAATGGATAGTGGTGATGATTGCACAACATTGTGAATGTCCTTAATGCCACTGAATTGTACACTTAAAAATGGTTAAATTTTACCACAATAAAAAAACTATTGGATTAATTCCAGAATTTTAAACAAAAACCATCTACTGAGAAATTATGTGCTTGTCTTACTTATTGTGTGTGTTACCTTGTAGCTAAGTGAACTGAGGGTTTGGATACTTCTTTTAAATATGATGGTTTGACAGAAGGGGCTGAGAACTAGGTTTCTAACCAATGTTCATGCAATATGAAGACCTATTGAGATGTATGCCAAGTAGTGTGCTGGGCATTGAGGACTACAGTGGTAAACAAGATAAGACACAGTCCCTGGAGTCTGCTGGTTGCCAAGATTGGACGGAAAAAAGAACAAACTTCTTATTAAGAAAAAAGGGATTAAACAATCAGGTGACTTTTCTCCTTAATGGTTTCCTTGGGGGGTGATTTTAATATATCCTTTTTTCCCCTTCAGGTTGCTATGGAAACCTAAGACCACATAAAAGGAAGTCCATTCTGATAATTCTGATACCTGAGATGCAACTGGACTGAAAAGTGGAACAGGAAAAATTTTAGTGCCAACCTTACTTACAATGGCTACTGATTCAGGGGAACCAGCTAGCACGGAAGATTCTGAGAAACCTGATGGAGTTTCATTGGAAAGCAAAGTTGCTCAGATTACAGAAACTTTGACAGTGGAAGGTAGGCTAAAGGAAAAAAGCAGTACCTTCTCTGCTTCCGGAGAAACCATAGAAAGGAAGAGATTCTTCCGAAAGAGTGTTGAGATGATGGAAGATGACAAAGTCACTGAATCTTCCTCGAAAGATGAGAGAATAAAGACTGCGACAAATGTTTCAAGAGTAGAAAAACTTCCTGCAAATGTGCTCCGAGGTGGACAAGAAGTTAAATACGAGCAATGTTCAAAGGGAGCATCAGAATCATCAAAAGATTGTTTGAAGGAGAAAAATGAAAAGGAAATGGAAGAAGAAGCAGAAATGAAGGCTGTAGCTACTTCTCCTAGTGGCAGGTTCCTGAAATTTGACATTGAGCTGGGAAGAGGAGCATTTAAAACAGTATATAAAGGACTGGACACTGAAACATGGGTTGAGGTTGCTTGGTGTGAGCTGCAGGTGAGTATATAATCTTCTTGGTTTTAATAAATTCCAGTTTTAGCTGGCCTAGGCTTCTGAATGACCCAGGATTAAAATGTATCATGGATTAAAATAAAATGAAGGACTTGTCCCCGCGTCCCTGAAATTATGCTCCTTTCTTAGATACTCTTAGGAGCTCACACCAACCTTTTGGTTTTTTTTTTCCCCTGTTGTTTTCCCCTCTGTTTTAAAGGGGAAAAAGTCTATTCTTGCTTTCTCTGGGGGAAATGCTCCTAATTTATTAACCTTAGGAAATTCCTAAAACACTTTTGATGTCTCATTTTGAAAACTTTTAGTAAGTGTATGCCTTATGAATTGATTGTTACACTAAATACTTGCAAGTGTGATGTGTTAGGGATATAGTCAGTGTGAAATTTTCCATTTCTCTTTTCCTTTCAACAAACTTTTGGGGTTCATGTGGTGTTTTTCAGCACAGGAAATGCTTTTCTTGCTTCTTTGAGGGCTTCTATTAATACAAACTCCTCCATGCCTTTGAGTTTACCTCAGAGAGGATCTCTGGAAGAAATAATCACTGAGGTTAGTCAACTGGAATGTTATTTAGAAAGGAGAAGTAAAAGCAACAGAATAGTTGAATTACCTAGATATTTGGTTCCATAATAAATATTTATGTGGTACTTTTAACTAATGAAGGGTTAAATGGGGACAGAACATCATAGAAGGGGCTATAATAAGAATAGATTCAGACAGTTGTAGGTTGAACATAAGGAAAAACTTTGTGATCTCAGTCAGCTCATGGGAAATGGTCAGTGTTCACAAGAGATGCTTAAGATTAAATAAAGCCAATTGCTAAGTACAGATTTTTGTTGTTCAAATTCCAGTGGTCTCTCTGTGTGGGTGTATATGTATGTACTATGATTTTACCCATTCTAAATTTGCTATACATTGCCACTTAGATAGGTTGAAATTTAGTCCAGGTCCCTGCATTTCTAGGAAGCTTTTTGTTTCCAAACTTTACTCTGTGTAAGAGCCAGTGTTTGCTTTGTATGCAGACTCTGGAGCCTATGTCAGAGATTCAGATTCAGTAAGTCTAGGGTGGAATGCAAGACTGCAATTTTAACCAGCTTTGAAAGTGCTTTGAATGTAGGAAGTCCCTTGACAACTTTTTGGAATGCAAGTTACCTAGCTGTCAAGCCATGCTGGTAGTTCTTGAAAGGTGTGCGTGTGTTGGGGGGGTTTGCTTGATTTTCTTACCCCTTTTACCTTTTAAGAATTTTATAAGGTCTGTGTCACAGTAGAAATATTAGATACTGCGAGCAAACAAATATTAAAATCACAGGAAATTACACTACTTTGAGAATGCTTTTAACATTTTAGTTTATTTCTTTATGGACTCTCTTTTGCATAAGTGTATAAGTGACTGTATGTCCCCCCACCCCATGGAGTCATATTATAAGGTTTTAACAAAACCTTTTTTTAAACCTATCATGATCATCTTTTCATCACCAGTAATTGTACATTTATATCATTATTTTTAATAGATGCTCTTTTAAGTTATGTAATCAGTCCTCTGTTGTTGGACATCTAGATTTTTCTCCAGTATTTCACTATTATAACCATGGTTGTGATCAATATCCTTGTGTATGTGTATAAATGTGTGTGTGTGTGTGTGTATATATATAATTATGTAAATTTTAATTTAATCTCTACATTGTGATTTCAGTTAACATCTTTTTTTGGGGTAGGGCACAAAATGTAAGCTATTTACTATTTGACCGTTTTTGTTGTTTGTTTTTTTCTTCTAGTTTTATTGAGATATAATTGACATACAACACTGTGTGAGTTTAAGGTGTACAGCATAATGATTTGGCTTAACATCATGAAATGATTATCACAGTAAGTTTAGTGAACATCCATCATCCCAAATAGATACAAAATTAGACATAGAAAAAATTTTTTTCCTCATGATGAGAGCTCTTAGGATTTACTCTCTTAACAATTTTCATATCATACAGCATTATTTTTATTGAGTTATAGTCGTTTTACAATGTTGTGTCAAATTCCAGTGTAGAGCACAATTTTTCAGTTATACATGAACATACATATATTCATTGTCACATTTTTTTGCTGTGAGCTACCACAAGATCTTTTATATTTCCTTGTGCTATACAGTATAATCTTCATAGAATAGTATAATATTCTATATTTTGAAATACAGCAGTCTTAATTATCTTTATTGTGTTGTACATTACATCTCTAGTACTTATTTATCTTATAAATGGAAGTTTGTATCTTTTGACTGCACTAACACTCATCTTTTAGTGGGACCAGCAGCATGGACATCACCTGGGGACTTGTTGGAACTGCAGGTTCCTAGACCTCATCCCAGACCTATTGAATCAGAATCTATCTCTTAGTAACATATGAAGGTGATTTATGTGCACAGTAGAGTTTGAAAAGCACTGAAAAAAGGGGCTAGTTCCAAGAGCTAGCTGAATCAGAGGAGGAATTCCCTTAATACACCAACATGAGCTTTATATTATATCATATATACTGATTCCTGGCATCCACTCCAGACTTTCCAAATTGGACTCTCCAAGAGATGGGGCCTAGGAACTTACTTTTAAAAGTTCTCCAAATAATTGGATATATAGCCAGAATTGGGGGCCTCTCATTTGGAGCAAATGTTGTAAATATATAAAGCACATTTTAATTTACACAAAGAACAACCATTGCAATTTTCTGTTCTGAAAGGAATGTTAGAATTACTGGACTTAGTTGATAAAATTTTTGGATATCATTTCATTTTCTGCATATTTGGAATTGGGAAAAACTAACGTATTTAGAATCCCAGAAGGATAAGGGCATCATCTTTTAATTACTTTCCTGTGAGTACTATGCAGTTTGTAATATACAATTTCTCATTTTTTTCCATTAAGTTTTCTTTATTATATAGTTAAACAATTTTGTAGAAAAACATCCCAATGAGCAGTTTAAGTTATTCTAGATTCTTTCCTAATCTTGTTTATATTTATGTGTGTGTATCATGTATAAGATTGGCATGTCTACACTTTTGTCTTGTTATCAACTTGATACATGTTTTCTATTTATTAACATCATTAAAATATGTAAGCGATATTTTATTGTATTCACGCCACCTCTTAATCTTCCTTGAAATTAGAGGAGTTCTTTTCTTTGTTAAAAATTTTATTTTTGCATGTTTGATTTGAAATTCGTAACTCAGCATAAGGTTTTTATACATTTTTCTCTTGATAGCATTTCCCCCATTGTAGATATTTGAGCCTTGTGTAACAATTCTTAACAGCCTCATATCCATTTATTTAGAATACATTGACCTTTGGCAGTGCAAAGAACTAGGAGAGACAGATTTTACTGCTGATATTTGACTTTGTGGATGTCAAAAACAAGCCCTTTGATGATGTGGATCAGATTTAGGATTTGCCCATAAACATCTGGATTTCTTTTTTTTTTTAATTAATAGACTTTACTTTTTAGAGCAGTTTCAGGTTCACAGCAGAATTGAGTAGAAAATACAGAGAGTTCACACAAAGCCCTCCCCACCCACACATATACACTCCCCTACCCTCAAAATCCCTCATCAGTGTGGCATATTTGGTACAATCGCATAAACATCTGCATTTCAACAGTTTGTCATACTTTATGGTTTATATAATTTGATGTTTTAATGACTTAGTGAAAAGGCTTTGACCTATTGTTCTTTGTAAATTACTTGGTAAATTGATAATTTACTGTGAGTGAGGGCTATCAGTCATAAGTTTTGTTTAGAAGACAATTTTAGTTCATGATGTTGAAAGACCTGGTCAGATGTTACTTAAAGTCCTGTTTAGTAACTTTTAGGAGTCAGTCAGAAGAGTTTGTAAATTTTATCCGCTAACAACTTGAGAATCAGTAGCACTTTGCTTTTACACATGGAAATACAACCAGTTTTTGCTTTACTTCTGCTAGTAATTTGTTATTTGTTTTCTTGATGGAACTGAGTTTTTGTATAGTGGGACTTTTTTCCAATTGAAGGAACATCATAGATATGTGAGATTTTTTTGTTATTTGACTGTTTCTAAAATGTATTTGAGTGTACTTGTAATAAGCTTCACTGTGAGGTCAGATATGTGATTGTGTGCTTTTCAAGGTAATTAAACTGGCCTCCTTTAAGTAGCATCTAACAGTGAGACATCTAAGAAGTCTAGCTATAGTCTCTGAACTGAACCAAAACTGGCACTGACTGAAAAGAAAGATTAAAAAAATAAAGACATAGTTGACTGTAGCAGGTTGACTGTAGCAGGCTGACCTGTTGAGTGAGCATTCTAATATGCTTTGATTATAGTAGTGAATATATTCCAGGCAATGCAATGGAAGTAAGTTTAAAAATCCATACTTCCGGGGGAGGGTATAGCTTAGTGGTAGAGTGCATGCCTAACATGCAGGAGGTCCTGGGTTCAATCCTCAGTATAGTACCTCCATTAAATAAACAAACAAACAAACCTAGTTACCTACCCTCTCCCAAAAAAACCCCAAAATTTTTAAAAATTAAGATAAAAATCCATACTTCCATACCTAAAGTGTCTACCAAAATTGTGGAGAAACTTGTTTTTGTTTTATTTTTGTTCATCGCCTAAAAACACTTTGGGGAGAAGTATATTTTTAGACAGCTCTACATTTAATTGTGAAATTAGAATTAGATAATAATGTGAAAATAGCTGAATTTCCAATAAAGTTAAAAATAATTAAAAAATATAAATATGCTAGAATTTCTGTTTCTGAATAAATATTGTTTTCTGAAGTATTCACTCTGGGATACTTTTGCTCTTAAAATATTTTTGTTATGACCCCTCTTGGAAATGTTTCCAGATTCTGTTAGAGTTATACAAGAAAATGCTTCACTGCATATAAGCACACCCCAAATAGTGTTATTTAGTTTAATTTCCCACTGTCTTCATAAGACCCAGACCTCATGGTACAATACTCTCATAGGCAAAGAATGATTACGCTGAAGGGAGAAGGGATAAAGCTTGCTTAAATGTATATGTTCTAGTTTCTTTGTTTAAAAGCTAGTCACATGACTTTATTAAATATAAACCAAAGACAGATGTTATCACAAAATGAGAGTGAAAGTAGCAGGAGACAGACTTGATTTGAGAAATCCAGTAATTTTTCTCGTTAGTTCAGCAAGTTAGTTTTGAACAAGCTATCTGCTTGATAGATAAGATAACAAATTGACACATCTAGTTCGGTGAATAATTGCACCCCAAAGATACCCATGTCCTAATCTCTGGAGCCTGTGAATATGTTGTTACCTTACATTGCAAAAAGGACTTTGCAAGTACCATTAAATTGAAGATCTTGTGATAGGTAGATTACCCTGGATTATCTGGGTGGGCCCAGTGTAATCACAAGGGTCCTTATAAGAATTAGGAAAGATGGCAATAGTCAGGAGGAGATCTGACAGTGGAAGCAGAGTTTGGAGTGATGCGAAAGTGGGCAATGAGCCAAGGAATTTGGGCAACCTCTAAAAGGTGGGAAAGGCAAGAAAACAGATTCTCCCCTAGAGCGTTCAAGAGGAACACAGCCTTGCCAACACCTTGATTTTAATTGAGTGAGATGCATTTTGGACTTCTGATCTCCACAACTGGAAGATAATAAATTTGTGTTGTTTTAAGCCACTAAAGTTGTGGTAATTTGTTATAGCAGCAATAGGGAATGAATATAGTATACTCAGTTGCCATTCATTCACTTGTTCATTCGCTCAGCAAATAAATGTTCAGTGCCTACAATGTATCAGAACTGTGCTAGGTTCTAGGGACTTAATGAGGGAAAAAAGCAGACACAGATTCCATTTTCATAAAGCTTACAGTAGAGGGAGTTTATAGTTAGTAAGAAGCCTTGGAGGTTGGAATTAGTGAAAAGATGAAAGGACTGTTAAATATAGATTTGTTTGAAAGAAATGGCAGGGTTGGGAATAGCAGGCAACAAACATACCACTCCTTTACTAGTTTTCTTTTTATTTTGAGATAATTTGTTACTAACAGAAGAGGTGTGGGGTCGGGGGTGGTGTGGG